ACAAGGTAAGGATCTGGTAAGGAACAAAAATCTAGTTATTAAAGGTTGTTTCATAATATATACATGCTAGAGGAAGTTAAATTAAGACTCAACAGACAAACCAGAATATTGAACGGCCTATTTTGGAATGCCTGACTTCTCAAAATGAAAATTGTATTACGATATTTGTGGGAATGCAATTTTAACTGTGTTTGTTATAAAAATGTTTAAACACACAGAATACAGAAACAGAAAATTAGGCTACATACTTCTGATTAAGCAGTCCAGCAGCTGAAGGGAGTAGATCACGAAAAACGTGACTGCAAGCCACACTAAGCGTGCATGCATCCAGTGGAGGACTGTGTTTTAACCGCAGGCTGTTATTCCAACAGTGAGCCTGTGAACTTGGCTTTATGACCCGAGCTTTAACTTGCCGCAATGCCTGGAGAGAACACAGTGTGTGAAGCCTGTGCCTACTGATGCTGACCCCAGTCAGACTACTGAACAAACGAGGGGAAAAAATAGTATTTTGATTGCCAGTTTCTTCCCCTGAGTCTCCACTGCCCATGAGGAGATGTGAAATGCTGTGTTAAAACAGAGCTAATGAGAACCCCATGCCAAACAAGGCATGTTGTATTTTACAGTACAATGAAATAAATCTTGCTTGTAAGATCATGCAGTGGATTTTAAGTGTCCAGAGGAAAGAGTCAGAACTACCAGACAGCAAGAAGAAATGGCTATGAGAAGATCCTCACTAAAATGTTGCAGTTCAAACAGCATTTCCAAATAGAGTTGTTTTGTTAATTCTTAGTCAACTAAAAAACCTACATTACTGTAAAATTTAAGTTAATTTTTATTACATGATAGTCAAGAAACATATTCAAAGCCACACAGCACCTTCAGTGTTGGGACTTTGAAAGGATCTAGGCAGTAGCTCTTTCCAGGTAGTAATCCAAAGTTATTTAGGTAAGACAGAAAAAAATTAATTATTTGTAACAGAGCTTTAATGGCCGTTGAGAATTTAGCCATTACACAACCACAAATCAGCGTTTTAAAACCATCTACCTTGCTAAACTGCTTTTTCACAGCATTTACCTAGGATAACTCAATCATGAAAATAAGATTTTTCTATAGATCTCTGTTAACTCACAAATATATAAAATTTTAATGTGATAAAGAATTAAGGACAAAGAACTGCAATGGTTATCTTGGCAAATTTTGGGTGGGGGGAGGAGAGGGAGAATAATTTGTTTGGGTTTTCAAAGTTCCTTTATTTTTTTTTTTTTTAATTCTCATCTTAAACTCCTAAATGACAGTTTTGTGTCACATCTCTTCTATGCACATAACTCTCAATGTATATATGAAGGACAGTGTTGCTGCTCCATATGTCTTAGGTTCTGTTTATAAGTGACAAGTAGTATTTTAATTAGTTTAAGTATCAATTAGAGAAACAGCTGTTAGAAAGCAGTCCAAATTATGTAATAAATAAATAATTTCCTAAACAAGAAGCACATACCTCCCAAATAACGTTCTTCAGAACACAGACCAAGGATTTCTTGTTAGAAACTTGCTTTCTTGTGACCACTGCCACCTACTGAAATATTTATTTGTGGTATGTGCGTCACAGCAAATAAGAAACACCTGGCAGAATACCTGCTTTTGTACTGAAACAAAAAATTATTAGTCCTCCTAACTTGGACAATGGTGCCAGTTTCCTACGTAGCAAACAGGACAATATACCTCTTTTTAAAATATTTTAGTTGTTTTTGCTATATTGAGACATACTGCTTGGTCTCATGTGTGGCCAGATATAGGATCTCTTAAAGCGTAAGAAAGAGGTTTATCTTGGGATTGCCAATGGGCACATTTTATTAGACAATCATAAAATACCTCTTTGCTAAGGTATTTGTTATGATCTCCCTAAGTCCTCAGAAGGAATACTCTTTAATCAGTTTACTGGACTCTGTGAACTTGTTACAATAATAAGGTACAGCTTAATTCTTAAAAAATTTACGCATCTTATTCCTATGTTTTCATTTAGTGGATAAAATTTCCTAGGTACCATCATAAAAATATGTTAGAGTAAAAAAATAAAAGCAAGTCCTGAGACCCTCTCCTTTCATTAAATGTCTGAGAAGATAGATGGACTAGAGGGACATCATACCAACAAGCTCTAGAAAAAGATGCTGCAGCCTGGCGACCGAATGTTCCTTCCCTTCCCCTTGCAGAGGTTCCCGCAGGAAGACCCACGGGACAAGACTGAGAAGAGAGAAGACGAGATGAGCCCTGCCTCTAACGGCCTGGCCAAGAGAGGAGAGATGGAATGTACTTTTCCACACATGCATCCCTTAAAGTAAAAAGAAGTTATATTACACACATACACACACAAACACACAAGATTCAGATATTTCTTTCATGTTTTGGTAGGTGATGGGCAGGGAAAAAGATAACACAGCCTTTCTCCACCGGAGTAATCTACTACGAACTGACACTGTGTAGCTGGGTGAACTTAGTGCAAAATTGCCATCAGTAATTTTAGAAGAAACTGAAATGTAAGCAAATGACGGGGGGTTTTTTTTTCAGTAACATATGTAATTTCTGATCTACCTTTTCCTTTTGGTTACATAGCTGCTACCTTATTTATTTTTCTCAGTTACTCACTGCTATGCTGACTTCCTTAAATTTTCTTGTGATCAATGTGATCCTTTCTTTACGAAGCATGTCACTTGTTATGTTCTGTAAACACCCACCAAAATTAAAGGATCTACTTACAAACGACGACTGTCTTTGACAATTGCTTTATTTCTCTACCTATTTAACGACATCTGGGATGTTTTTGTATGTACCAATGGATGCACAGATGTTTAAGTACACATTTGCCACTCTCAACTGCTCTCAGTGATGACTTTATCCAGATGCATAGGCCTCAATTCCATTTACATTTGGGACAACGGAAAACAAACAAACAAACAAACAGAGACTGCTCTTCAGAGAAAGTTGATGACAGAACCACCTCTCTACATGAAGTGTGAAGTTTCCACAGCAAATAACACCTGAACAAAGTAAGAATCCAAACTGAAATCCCAATCTGAAATGAAAAGCAATTTTAGCTACTGCTGAAACACTGAAACCCACATCAAAGCAACCTAAAAGACACAGTAAGCACCCCACAGCATACATGCATTCGGGAAAAAAACACAGCAGGAAAATCACAAACATTGACCAGAACACAAAAAACTTATCACAGGGGGGATTCTACATTTTATGGAGCTCTTTCTAATCTTTTTTTTCAGAGAAAAAACCTGCCATACAGATTTATGAATCATGAATTTTCACAGCTGTACATTTACAGAATACAATTCTAACCTAAAACCTTTCATTTTTAGTTATTGAAAAGCACGTCAGAATTAAACTGCTTTAAGCACCTTCAAGCATAAGCATCTGTAAGACAACATACAGGCAAAACACATGCTGAGAAAGCTGAGTGGTGAGTGCAAGTCAGCAAGTCCAACAATATTCTTTTCTCCAAAGGGCAGCATTAAATACCAGGTCAAAGCACTAATAATTATTTTAGATAACCTCATTCAGACTTGCCATTATAGAACAGAACACTAGTTAAATTAGAGTCACTGCTTTTCTGAACTGAACTATGTTAGTGTTTTGTCTTTCTTCTGTCAGCTTCTTCAGAGTTGGCATTCTTATCTCTTCTAGCTGATTAGGTCAGGCTTGTGGCGTGCTGGCCAAGTTTTAACTCTCAAAAGAACACAAGAAAGTGTGATGGCTTGAACCTAGTCCAAAGTTACTGAGGGCATGCAAGCATGGAAACTAGCCAGAGGACCTACAGCCCAATAAAATAGGATTAGAATTAAGAAGTTTCTCGCAAACTCAAAGCCAGGCGAGAGAAGAATTTTTGGATAGATTTGGATGGGAAAATGGGCATGGGAATCGGTGAAAGACTTTCACTAATTCCTCCTCTAATTGTGTTAGTATGTTTCTACAACTTTTCCTAGACTCTGGAAACCCTGAACCAGAATGATAAGAGTGTAAGAAGATCAGGATTTATATTTATCGGCAGAGATGTCTGGAGAAGCTGATTACTGAGTATGCCTGTCACAGGACCTGTTTCAGGACAATGCTGTAAGTCTCAATTTTCGTAAAGTTAACCACATGTGCAAATATAATAACCTAATATAATCTCACTGAATAAAGGCAGATCAAAGATTTCATCAGTGAATTTGTACTAAAGCCAGTACTCAAGAATGATGAACACTATTTACTAAGTATTCATGAATGAATTGGTTCGTAATACAGCTTGCAGTATAATTTAGAAGATAAAACTAGTGATATATATAAAACAAATATGCTGATGCATATTAAGCAATACCAGAGGCTACCAAAACCACACATTTGTCAGCTACTGAGGGAATCAACAGAGCAATAAGATAGCCCAAAAGCTGCTATTACCCCAACAATTTGAAACTCTGCAACTGTTAGTGAATAACATGAACCCAAAATTCCAAAAATAAATCAAGAATAACTGATACACTGAATAATTTTGCTCAATAATATATTCTCAAAAAGAGAAAAATATTTATTAGAAACAGCAACCTATCAATTACTATTTATACTACCAAAGATCATCCAAATTTGAGTTACTAAAATTGAAACACTCCCCAGTCGTGTAGTTTCTTTAAATACAAGCATCATAGCATTTACAATACAACCCTATTCTTAAAGGAAGCATTATGTACTATCTTTTCAGGAAGGAAATAAAGATATGGCACAGATACCTTGTAGCAAATTCTGTTGTTCTGAATGCACACAAAAAAACTTAGAACAAGTTTGAATAACTCATTCCACTCTTAAACTGGTAGAAGCCAAGATCTACAAAGATTTGCAACACAGGTGAATTTTGAGATCGGTCATTAGAATGGAAATAAAAGCAAACAGAAAACAATACCTTCTGCATTACAGAAACACTATATATTAACATATGCTGTGAAAAAGGAAAAAAAAATTACCTGGAACAAGTTCCATAACAATATAAATAGGTTGCCGTTGTGTGCAAACTCCTATAAGTTTTACAATATTAGGATGATCATATTGTTTGAGTATTCTGTAAAACATACATTAGGTTTATTATATTAATAAACTTTATTGTACAAACCAATTAAGTATCGTATGAAAATATCTTAAACCCGTAATGTTATTTTAATGGAACATGCCATTACTGTTATTGCTAAAAAACAAAACAAAACAAAACCAGTGTAAGAGATGAATCATCATTCTGTTTGCAACTGAGGGCACATTAACTCACTTATAAATCAAGACTGAACACCACATTATTGTGATTGTAATCCTACCATTTGTCTACATAAAAAAAGGACTGAAAAACTGCTTGATAGCTTTGGCATTTCTCAAGAACCCTTGCAATTAAATAGCATTTCAGTGGCGAACCAGTAGCAGAGCTATGTCAAAAAAGCATGCACTGTTCAAATCACACTCATTCTAATTTTACTTCACGAAATTAATTAGTACAATAAGTTTTAAAACAATATAGAGACAGCAATTTTAATTTGGGAGAACTAAACAAAAACATTTGTATCTTCTTACACAATGCTTTAATAAGAACATTTGCAGCCTAAAACAGCATGCTACGATTTATAAGTGAAATAAGGGGCTAGGAAGAATTCTAGAGAGACATTATAACTTTTAAATGTTTCTTCTACTAGCTGCTAACTTAAACAACCTCTTCTTTTTCTCTTTTTCCTATAAGCAATAGTAAAATAGTAGCCTACTTGGTACATACATACTTAGTGAGAAATAATGCATTTCATTTTTTTCCCCGGTATTACTGCGTTCCTTCAGTGGTAGGTTGCTTAGCAAATGAAGCATCTCTGCAGTAGCCAACTGAGTTATGAGCCACTTAAAAAAAAAATTCAAAAGCTATAATGGCTGATATCAATTCTTTATATAATGCGTTATACTTTTCCACATTGATCATAGTATTTTTGATAAAAATGAAAATATTTTGTGTTCCATTAGAAGAACAGGGTAAGATGATTAAAATCATTTTAAAATTATATTTTTACGCTCCCTCTACTCTGAGGACTTAGAATGTATTTATTTGTATGCCCATATAATCAGCCTATATTCAAAATACTTAGCATATTGCGGTATGATTGCCATTTGAAAAACAGGGTATGCAATCATATGCTGTCTGAAACAGCAAAGAATCTCTCTTCTGAAGTGGATTCTTTTTCTAAAGAGAAAATTAGCAAAACGGATGTATACTATAACCTGGCCAAACCTGAAGAGCTCTGTTAGTCCAGCATGTGAGAAGGCAGGATTTATGACTGGTATAATCACATTTAAAGTAACAATTGCTCCTTATCCTAAGCCTTATGGCACATCTCAGACAAAGTAGTAAATGGAGGCAATTACAATAATAGAAATGTGTTTTTTACAGGCATAGACTGCTTTGCTGAAGAGGTGGTTTGAGCAAGCGCAGATGCTGTTGCTCTCACACATTAAAAACGTCTATTTTTAGGTCCTGGGGAAACAGCTGTAGAATGTATTCAGGGAGAGAAAAAAGGGAAAAGGAGAAGTTCAAGAACTGCTTCTTCGAATTTTTGTAAAGGTCAGATTTTATAAATCCATTCAATAATAAGCCTTGAAAAAAAACAACCCCAAATAAATATATATTTTAATTAAATTTAGAGAACCTACCGGGCTTCTGATAGAAATTTTATTTTCAGTTCCTGAGGAAGATCTTCTTTACAAGTTTTTACAGCAACAGGAGTCTTATCCTTTAATGTTCCTTTATATACCTCACCAAAATTACCCTGAAATCAGAGAAAAAAATAATTCTAATTAAACAAAGCTTTCACAAATATCCAGAAAAATATTACAGACATCTCATGTTAGAAAGAATTTAAACTGGTACAGCATTTTATAATGCTTTCATGAAGTCACAGGAAGTTTCCTTCCAACATCTTCATCCTTAACACAATTCAGTTCATGCAGGCATTGTACATCTATTATACGAATATTACACATGAATTCTAAATTGATCTTGTTGGAAAGAGAGAAAAAAAAAACCCACAAATTGTGTAATTATGATTTTCTTGTAAAACATCTAAGTAACTTCTAAAGTCCATAGATATTGAAAATAGTATTTTCTTTCCTCTTATTACTCCCTCCCTCTTTCATTTTCAAACTGTTTTATTTTAAAAAAGGTTCTCACCTTCTGTGTGCAAGATATCAAAATATGAACTGTGAAACTAGGACAAAGCATTTTAAAATCACATAAACATTCTCACACACATGAGGAAGGAAAATAATAAAAATAATAATCAATATTCAACCTTAATTCTGATTGAAAATTAAAAGCATTGAAAAAAATGTGTTCTTTTTCCCCAAATGGCTAAGCATCCCACAATGTATTTTCTATAAGCTAAGCTGATCAATACTGTTCTATAAAGTATGCAGATCCTCACATTTGGACATGAATTTAGAAAGCAGCTTTTTTTAAAACTTAACTAGATTTTTTAGATTTTTTCACCAGTGTTATGTATTTTTTCAGTTTTCATAGAAGACGACTGAAGTAATTAGCAGAATAGTCTCCATCACAGGTATTTGCTACTTAAGTAAGAACAGAATGAAAAGGAATTAAGACAGATACTGAAGGAAGAAGCATATTATGAGATATGTAAAAAAACACTGGTGTAAAACAAAAACTCCCAAGAAAACAAAACCAAAAATTGAAGATCTCATTCTTTTACTCAAGCTTTGTATTTTCCAAACAACTAACACAACTCCATTCTAAAGCTATGTCAGGTATATTCCCACATGAGTTTCTCTCCTGTGTGCTAGTATGTGGAGCTGCGCGTTGAGTTCAACAAACAGCAAAAAAAACTCCTTGCAATGTCTTCATTTCTTTCCTCTGTGATGGAGATTTCTTTATATCACGCAATTGAATACAGTAGTGCCAAGGATGGAAGACAGAAAAGGAAAAAAGAAACTCACAGATGGAAAATAATAGTGCTACTACTTAGAAAGGAAGAAATTCAGGTGCCTAAACATATGCCTCTAGTAGTATTTTGTATATCCTAGGATAACTGAGACAGCAACACAGCTGGCAAACACAACATATGATCTACAACAGTCATCTCAAATCCTTTCTAAAATACCACTTCTAGAGGCCAGGATGCTACCTGTGATATCTAAAATAGCACTAGATGCCTACAGCTAAGCAGTTGAATTACTCCTAATATCCTTTCCCCTAACTTTCTGTTTAGAAGTACTTAATAGTAAAAACTGACTCTACCTTAAAGACTACTTAAGTATTAAAAATGTTTTCTTGACTTCCAATAAAACATTTCCTTTATATAACTTGCATTTTGCAGGATATTAGACAACAGAGTAAAGAATATATGGACCACTCACTTCCGAGGTGAAAAAAAATCTTCCTCTTATTAAAGTTTGCATCTGCTTCTGCATCAAACTTGTATGATTTTCCTACTTACCTTTTGCAGGCTACTCAAGATTTTATCATCCTTCATATTTCTCATTTCCAGGGTCAATGGCAGCAGTTTATTTAACATTTTCTCATATGGAAGTGATCCCACACCTTGTATTACCCTGTTATTCTAATCTTTTCTAGTTTGACTGTAGCTTTTTAGAGAGATGGATGCATAGCAGATTTACATCATTGATCAAGAAACTTGTTACCTAGTTTGTTATTTTTTAAATAATTCTTAACTAGATTTGCTTTTATAATTGCTTCCAAGCATCTATTTGTCTTTATTGAGGATTAAAAATGCTTTGCACCAAAAACATGAATACATGCATAAAATCAATTTAACTACCTTTACTCATCAAGCCTAATTTATATTTCTTTTTTGGAAGACAAGCCTTTTTGATGTCTGAATCTTTATTATTTTTATGCCTGAAAATCTTTGTTTTTCTCCTCTTGAGATTTTTCTGTTAAGAACGTGAAACCGGCACTGCATCTGTATAGCATTTTATGTGGACGTAGTTCTTGTCATCTTAAGCTGTCAAAGATATTTTATCCCGGGAAACAGATTTTTCAGGCAGTTTTAATTCCTTCAATTCTTGAAAGTTTAATTGATTCTTGCAGTGTGTCTCTCAATACTAAAGCAACTGTTGCTTTCATTTGGCTTCTCATTTAAGCCTGTTTTTCAAGTTTTGGGACATCTTTTGGACATTGTGTCCAAAGTAGCATTTGCACTAACCTTGTTGATAGGTGCAAAGCTGCTGAAAATGTAAGCAGGGTAACAAGGTAACAGTTACCTGAGTAGGAGTATTTTAAAGACTTACAGCTACTAAGCAGAATTTGTGATATGTACTACAGCACACAAGAATTAATTTAATACATTTAAGTATGGTGAAGTTACCTATCATTCAGTAAGTCATACAAAAGCAATGAACATTTGTTTTAAAAGTTTTGGTTAAATCATCTTATTATATCAAATTCTTTATTGATATGAAATTTCCTGTTCTGCAATAACATTCTTCTTTTGTAAGATTCCACAAAGTAAAGTAGCCACATAATGCTTTATCGAAATCTAGCTAGCTTTCAGGTTAGGTTTTAGGTCTTCCAAATGAGAAAAATATGCATGCTACAGTTAAACATTTTCAGCAGTAAAACGAACTTCTTATAATATTTACTCATAACTGTGATTTACATTTACTTAATCACAGTACAATGCTCTGATTGTATCGAAGTAAAAGAACTAGCATAAACATTGCATACCAGAGTAATTTAAAAGATAAGGAAAACAGGAAACATATAGGCTTCATGACTAATATATACTTATTTAAATGTTATTTAGCTCACTTGATTACTTACTTTGCCCAGTAATTCCCCCAGTGTGACATCTTCATGATTGAGAACCCACTTCTTATCCTATGGAAAGAAAAAAAAAAGAATGTTCGGTCCGGGCCAACATGTATGTCCTTTAAGATACATTCCAGCCAGATTCCTAAAGAATCATCTTATTCAGATCATTTAGTAAACAGTATGCTAAGAAGTTAAAAATTTAAGAGTTTGTAAAACAGATTTTGGAAATCTTGCTACACAATAAGATACTGAAACAGACTACATAGCAAATTTCTATCAGAAGATTAAACCTGCAACATGAGAGTACGAATGTAGAAAGAACGCAGTATGTACTTTTCAAATAAGCTCTTGAAAGGGTATCTAGTGCTGAAAAATCGCTTAAGTCAAAATCAGAGATGAAAACTTTCATTTTAGCATACAAACTAACACATTGCAAGATTAAAAAGCCATTTGTCTCCTCAGCATACTGAAAAAAGAATCAACTTTTCTAAACATGAACTAGACACATAATTGCATTTCTTAAATCTTTTGCGGTAGTTTGATATATTACAGGAAACTACTTGAAAAAGATAACAATAACAAATGCAAATTACAGTATCCATTCAGTTCCCATGTCCAATACTGCAAATACTCTTCAACAGCCCACAGACACATCAAAAACAATTCTAAGCTTCTTGCTACGCAGACATATTTAATAAATATTTAGTTAACATGTTACAGTTGGGTATTTTAAGTCTAAACCACACAATGAAACAACTGTTTATTTTGTTACATTTTTAATACTGTTAGCATCTAAACTACTAACTACCTTGCAAACACCCCTACCACCAGTCATGTTATCCTAATTATATTTCAAGCGTTCTCTATTACTAAAGAAAGAGATAAAAACAAAAATCAAACATGTGTACTGCCAACTCAATAAATCATTTCACCTTAAAGCTCAAAGAAAACCAAACTAAACATGTTGGCTTTGCAGTATCCCTGATATTAGAATATCAGTTTTACTGGACCATGGAGGACTTGGCACCCTTTCTATTGAGAATGCATCAATTTCAGCACCGAAACAAAACCAAACTACAGCACAGAGTATTAACTTCTAGGATTCAGAGTCCCAAAGTCTTTAGAACTTTTACAGATTAAAACTGATACCAGAATTCTATGAGAAAAGTGTCCTGATGCCAATACTGTGTTCTGCAATCTGGGCTGTGCTGTTGCGATGCACGCTGAGCAATCTCCCCGTAATCTTACTATGTGTGATTTTCTATTCCATAGGGCACAGTTTTGATTAGTCAACAGCAGTTAAAGAAAAAATTAATCAAAAGTGTTTGGATTTTACTAGAATTATGATGATTTAAAGTTACCTTCATTCTATACACTTTTACCTTCAATTAAGCTCTGAAACATATTACGGTCATCTTCTGCTGGCTACGCATTAAGTGGGAGTGAATACTGTTATAACAGAATGTGGTTTATAATCAAGTTTTTAAAAACAAAGACCACATATTTTCACTCAGGGAATTGAAAAATATGCAGAATGTCTTCATGTGGCCATCTAAAATCAACATATCTGCTGTAGTACAAAACCATATGCTATTAAACATTCCTGTACTAGCATCAAGGAAAAGTACAAGAGACTTCACTTTTAACAAACGGCAAGAGGAGACTGAAACATTTTAAGTTAAGGAATAACCATATTCCAAAGTGTTCTTAATTTTTTGGATCATATTTTCCCATTTGCTTTCAGGATAAAAAACAATAGCAGGAGAATTATTGCCACTATTTTAATATTGCCCCAATTATTTTATTTACCAGATATAAAGATCTTAACATATTAAAACAAATTTTGCAACTGAAAAACTGGAAAAGGAAAAGGTCTGGTAAGCTATTAAATTTACTGAAGTTCTTAGCATTGTAGCATTATAGCTACAACATTTATCAAGTGCTTTTTTTCCTGGGTTGCTTTACCATGTTAAGTACATTTAAGTTTAGGCTGAACAAAGTCTGTTTCATTTTGATTTAGATAGTCTCATTTCTACTATCAAACTGTTCCACTTATATATTAAAACTGACAGCTATTTGTTGCTACTGCTAAGGACACAGTCTTTGTAATCCTGTAATTGGTGCCTGCTTTCCAAGGGAACCATGGTATGCGAGTGGACTCTCACTGATAATCACTACATTAGACAACAACACATAATGCATAGATGCGTTTTATCATAGGTCAAAATTTCAGTCACTATTGCTAATAGCTTCACAGTGTGACATGATCTTATAAACAAAACAAAAGCATACACTGCCCCATTATCCTCTTCCTCAAGCATAATGTACTAGGCTGACTGATCTGAAAGACTGTTGTGGATGACACACTGAACAGGGTTACCATTACATAAAAATGCATGCATATATTTTAACCCTCTGATTTTTATTTTGGTGCACCATAGGGCACAGTAACTCAGGAATGACAAATTGTACTAGCTTCTCAAGCTTCTAGGATCTTACATGTTTAATAAACCAACACACAAACCGGCCAGATAGTGATTAAGTGGAAGAGAAAACTTATAATAACTGTTAGTACTGAGTAGGAAAAATACTTTGAATCACACTGTCACACTCATATTAGCCTAAAATTTTATAAAGCCTTGGACAGATGAGAACACTTCCTTAATAGTCACTTCTGTTTACTTAAAATCATTAAAGCAGAGGCTAAAGATATAGGGTAAATAAAGTTACTACTCTTGGTATTGCTTGCTAATTTGATATTAGGCAATTTTATGACAGATGAACAAAACAAACCTTCTTAATATAGCATTCAAGTGATAAAGACGGGTGCAGAAAAACTTTTTTTTTTTTTTAAACAAGATCTTTTGTGCCCTTGAAATTTCACATTACATGCTCCTAAAACATTATTAAGCCACTCCCTTGTGGAAACTCTGTCATTGACCATAATTAGTAGGAACAATTTGGTACTATGCATACTAAAATAACACTAAGAAAATATACTTGGCAGACACTAGGAGAAAGCTTACAGTCTCAGTCTTCAATAACACAAATTCTCAAACAACATTCAGAGCATGCCCGGTACTTTTCTTTAAAAGCTCTTCCACATCCTGCCCATGTCAAAACCAGCCTTCAAAATCCATACTTCTCACTCTTTGAACTCTCATTACACACTTCCCTCACAAAATTATGATATTTACCTTCCAAGTCTTTCTTTACTCTATGCTGACAACGGATTGGGTGCCACTGAGCACTTGGATACGGATGCAGCAGAGCAGACATTTACCACACACTAGGGCAGTAAGACGTTGCAGATCAATAGGTACATGCTAACTGATGCGCTTAAGCCTGTTCCTTCAAATGAGCTGATGCAGCATGCAGAGTACAAAGTTTGAGCTGGTGGCTGCTTGGACCGCTGGCATCTAGGCCTAATCCTGGTGGTACCCAACTTTAACACAGAACTCTATCTAACCAGCTAAGATTCACGTTAACAACTGCTAAAAAGACCAAAAAGCAGTTGGGGTAAACAAGCAAGCAACCCAAATGTAACAGTGTACAAAGATGAACAGGAAAAAAAGCAAGTAGTTCTCCCAAAACACAGTTACTATGCCAAGTTTGAATGCAAAACACCATCCAAGCACGGAAAGGAATAATTTTGGTCAGCAGTTTTAGCTGTGAAGCTTTTAAAATTCACTTCTACCTCACCTGTCTCAGATGCAATAGCCAATAACCTGTGCATTGAACAGAGTAAGGAGTTTTGTGTTTCTCTGTTCCTAAGCGGAGCAATGACTCATTTGTGTTTGTTACGCATTTACAAAGCTACAGATAAAAGAGAGTAGGAAAAAATATGAAACAATTTACTATGCCTAATTCCAAAATAGCTAATTTGAAAACTGGACTTAAATCATTCACTAGAAATCGCTAGATTAGGGAAAATTTCCTATGATCAAACAAATTCTTTTATTACCTATGTCATTCTCCATCATACACATAAAATTCACTGGTAAGGTAAGCCTTTCCCCTATAAACCAAACCAAGTCACTTTAAAGCTCCGAAGAGATGAAACATATATTATCATATTTGCTACATTTATTAGTTCTAAATAGAAGGCAAAGAAAAGAGCTTCCCCTCCTCCATCTTTTTATATTGCCGAAGTAGAGTGTGAAAATCCTTTATTTCTGGAAGAAATAAAATTTCAAATATACTTAAGATCATGATAAAATATGTATATACTGTTACATGGCACTCAGCTATAGTACTTTACACAGATAACTACTCATGAAAACTGAGATGTTAATGAAAAATTGAACAATGATAATGAAAAACAGCCAAACAAGATCCGTTCTTCTTAAAAAACATTGCAAACTAATGTAATACAATATCTATTATAAGAAATTCACTTAAATATATAAACACTCATTTCACTTTCTCCTGTTTTTAGTAGATTTTTTAAAAGCAAAGTTGTTGTGATCCTTTGCAATGATAAAATTCTACTGGGAAGAATAAAATTTAAACAATAAAATCAGTAAATGATTATTACTTATTAGGTAATATAACAGTGGTCTACAGAGTTCACATTTCAAAGAAATTCTCAAAAAAATTCATAATGCAAGAAGAAAACATTGCCTCAAAACTTTAAAAAATGTACTTGACTAGAAAATAATGGCCTCAGATTTTAGTATTACTTCAGGTTTGACAACTTCCACCAATCATTGAGTATTATTTTGTTGCTATTGCCTTCAAACCAGTCACTTAAGTTTATAAAAATACAAATACTTGCAACAGACACATCGTGCAAATATATTTTCAGGTACAGGAAATATTCTACTCTGTATGTTAACAATGCTTCCAAGTAAGTGTAATGTATGAATCCTTTAGTTAAGAGACTCAGTAGAGAGTACACTAGAAGAATGGAAATAGAACATCTATTATCTTTAAAAGCACTAGAGACGACTGTTTTTTTCAAGTAACTTACCATGGGATACTAAAACATTTGAACCATACATGTGGGGAAAAACTAGAATCCAATGATTTTTCCAAACTGCTTTTGTAAGGAGTGTGTCCTCATT